TTAGATATCAATTAAAAATAATCTCTTCCAGGAAGTCTTTCATAATTAGTTTAGAACAGTTTGCCACACCATACAATTCTCTTCTTTTGGCTTTTGAAAAAATAACAGTCATTTATAAAACAGCTAAAGTACCATATTTTTCTATATGTAGGGTGTATGTATATATTTAAGTTCAGGTTAACATGTCTTTTCAATTAGATTATAAATCTTATAAACCTTAGTGTTGCACATTCTATATTGTGAACTTTCTGGGCATTTGAATGAGGATGATATGAGCATCAGTAGTATGAATTAAACTTGTTAAAATTCTGCTTGTTCAAAGATATGTGTGTGGATATATATTGGATTGGCCAAAAAGTTCGTTCGGGTTTTTCTATAACGTTGTCCTAAAATCCGAACGAACTTTTTGGCCAACCCAATGTATTTGAACTTTTTAAAGGTAAACCTAAATTTTTCAGATTTGGTGCATGTTGCCGCACAACTTCTCAATGATCAATGCTAATAGACGGGCACATTGGGGGAGAATATCCAAAACTGTGGATAAATCACAATATTTTCTACTTGCTTTGGAAAATAGATTATTTTTTACAGTATGCCTTAAGAATGGGCATACATTTTTTTTAATTAGCAATAATATCTAATGTTGGAGAAGTACAAGGAAATCAATATTTTCATACACTGCTGGAAAGTGAATTTGTATAAGCTTTCTGTAGGGCAGGTCAGCAATGCGTATCAACAGCCTTGTGACCCAGAAATTCCAACTCTATGAATTTATCCTAAAGAATTCACTAAGGATGTGTGCAAAGATTAGTTTAAAGGTTATCATAGCATTATTTATAAAAAGCAAGCAAAAAATGTGGCAACAGTATGAATGTCCAGCAACAGGGAACAGATTTAATGAATGAGCCTTCCTTATCTGTGTTTGAGTCCCAGTTCTAGCAATTATCAGCTGTATGACCGAGCAAGTTGCTTAATTTCTCTGGCCATCAGTTTTCTAATCTTTAAAATGGGGACAATAATAATGTCAATTTTTCTACATGAAGCAAGGTATTAAAATAGAACTAGTTTCCTGAGATGTCAATAAACCTCACTGGTATCTTTGGTGTAAATTTCCCATTGTGCCATTCTGTCATGGGGTTGTTGGGAGAATTGAGTGAGATAAGACACGTCTGGCACGTAAATAGGTGCTTCTTATTATTATGGTACTTCTATATGGTATAATTTTCAGCCTTTAAAAATGATGTTGCAGGTGAATTTTAACATGGAAAGATACTTGGAATGGATTTTGAGTTTGTTTTGTTTCTAAAGTAAAAATTCAATTTATTCATCTGTTTACCATACAGTACAAGAGAGGCAAAGTGTTTCACATCATAGATTTCACTTCCAACTCCTTGGAATGTTCATTTCTTTGGCTAAAAGGAGAAACTTGCTGGGAAAGTCAGGCAATGCTTAGGCAAGGTGAGGGATGGGTACAAGGGGGCTGCTAATTGCAAACTGAGTTTCTAGAACTGTCACCTGGAATCATAGGAGCCCCACTTCTGGACACTTGTGCCATCTCAGGCATCACCCCCACCACCCAGGCACAGCGACGCTTACTAGTGGTTACCCTTGCTGTCCTCCTGGATGTGGCAGTGCCCGCCATACTTTCTCTTGAATTCAGACCTAATTTTCAATGTGTCCCCTTCCTTCACTGCAGGAGACCATGATTCGAATCAGGACCGTATTGTGAGTCCACTTGCCCTTCATGGAGTTGTACAGTCAGTCAGCAAAATACAGGGACTTCTTGTTCTGAATACACTTGACCAGGTTCAGGAAAACATTTTGCCGGTCTCCTTTGCCCTCCTTCTTGATCATAAGGGCTATTGCTGTTGTACCTTTCAAATACTTTCTGGAGGTGACACACACTTCTCTGTCATGATGCTGATCCACTTGGAAACATCAGTTCCTTTGCTCTTCATTCCAGCATTATAGAGATCTCAAGTATGTTGGGCCAGTCAGTTCATAGTCAAGGACAGATCCATCCTCTGCTCTTCTACCCTTTGCGAGGGCAACTATCGGCTTGCAGAAGTCATCAGATGTGTCAGAAGCAACGTCCTGGGACTTCCTGGTAGTCCAGTGGTTAAAAATCCACCTTCCAATGCAGGGGACATGGGTTCGATCCCTGGTCAGGGAATGAAGGTCCCACATGCCACGGGGCAACTGAGCCCACGCACCTCAACTTAGAGAGCCCATGTGCCACAAGTAGAGAGAAGCCTGCTCGCTGCAATGAAAGATCCTGCATGCCGCAACTAAGGCCTGACGCAGCCAAAAATAATAAATAAATATTTTTAAAAAGAAACAATGTCCTTCTCCAGATCAATCTTGTACATTTCCTTGTAGACTGTTAATTTCCTGCAGCCCCTGGTTGGTCCCTGAGCAGGTGATTTCAATGAGAGGGTCTTCATCTGTCACCAGCCCCTTCATGGAGGAGGCTTTCAACTTGGAATCCTCGTACTGAGTGGGTGTTTTCAGAAGGCCCCAAATAACCTTCTCCAGGTGGCTGGACAAGTCTGACTTCAGTGCTGATGCGAGTTCCTTTTTGGTCCTTCTCTGATAGGCAAAAGTAATATTCTGTCTCTGTTCATTGCTACAGTTGGTCAAAATGTTGACGATGGTGACCTCATCCACACCTTTAGTCTTGATGGCCGTTTCAATGTTCATAGCGTCCCGCTCAGCATCCCAGTTGGTGTATGCTTTGACTGACCTGTCTACATTTGGGGGTGGATAGTGGTCAGTGGTCAGGTGGATAGTGTCAAACTTGCACAGAATTCTGTGAACAGTAGACATTCTGATAGAAGCTGGACCAGGAGCTGAGAGCTGCAAGTGGCCCCAGATGTGGAGCTGGAATGTGTTATCAAAAAACCCAAAAACTCAAACTGCAAAATAGTATCTGGAAAAATAAACACTGAAATATTTACTATGGTCATCTCTGGAGAGTGGATGATGCTTTTTTCCCCCATTAATTATGTTTTATACTGAGCATGTATTGATTGCTTTATAATGAGAAAGAAAGTGAGTCAATTTCTGCTGAAAAAATTAAAGATCAGGATGAATAGGTGGAGCACAGAGGATTTTAAGGGCAGGGAAACTGCTCAGTATGATACTGTAACAATGGATTTGTGTTATTATACATTTGTCCAAACCCATAGGATGTATAACACCAAGAGTGAACTCTAATATGAGCTGTGAACTTTGGTTGATGATGTGTCAATGTCATTGAACCTTGGCTGTTTCCTCCATCTTCTAGCAAATGATTAGAAAAAAAAACTGATTTCAACACTTTCTTCAGAAAAATATAATTGGCGAGGTAATATCTCCTTTAAAAGTCATATGATAAATTTTAAAACGTAATAAAAATTCAGACTGTCTGCTTCATAAGAATATTTATTTGGCCAACACGCTCCTCTCACTGCCTTTCTTGACCACCACCCATCTATAGTTTCAGCTAGAACCCTCAGGCCAACCTTTAGCTCTTTCTACTTTCTTATCATTTCTCCAATCTGCCTCCTTGTCTTCATCCCTCCCTTTTTCGGTCAAACCCTTGTCATCTTTTACCTGGCCCGTGACCCTGCTTCTAGTACCTCTTCCCTCCACCCTCAATTTGTTTTGCATATGCTGCTAGGGTTGCCTTTCTAAAATAGATATGATCTTCTTGTCTAAAATACCTTTGAGGTTTAAGACCTCAGAGGGCCCTATGCTTTAGGTTTCCTATTAGGCTCAAAGGCTAAAGTACAAAAACAACAACCTGGTTTCAGCCAAATTTCCCCCAAGTTTGCTTCTTGCTGTGCACTATCACGTGCCAAGTTTCAGTCACCCTGAACCTCTCTGTTCCCCAAACATGGCTCTCTGCCTGAGCATCTCTTCCCCACTCCCTGAAATAGCCTCCCTCCTCTTTTCTATCTAATGAATTCCTGCCCTCTTCTGTGATGCCGTCTCGAAGACCCCGGGCAGAATCATATTCTCTGTCCTTTGAATTCCTACAAATCCTAACTTGTTCTGGCACTTACCTGTGGCCTAGTTTTCCCTACCTGGACTTTGAATTTCTCAAGGACAGGAAAATGTCTTATTTGTCTTTGGATCCTCAGGGCCTAGCACAGTGCTTTAGCATATAGTAGGTGCTCATTAAATATGTTTTAATACAATTCAATGTGATCTTAAGATATAATGTGAACATAATTTATGGTAAATTCATTATCTAGCATTTCAAGAACGAACCAGGCTACAGATAGAATTGATAAATGAATTCTAAAGGTAATTTTCAAGCCTTATTTTCACACAGCTTTAAATCTCTCCATTCTTTCATTTCCCTCTTGTATGGGTCTTCATAAGCGTTGAGAAAAGACCAAAAAGGAGAAAATAGTCCTGCAAAAGAGAAAGGGCCTAGACAGCAAGTACCTGACCAAGCAAGAGTAAAATGTGTTGAACTCCTTGAACATGATTGCCTTACTCATTCCTTATTATGAAAGTTTAGTTTCCCCAGCTAGATTCCAAGATATTTGGAATTATTTTGTTTGTTTCTTTTATATGCTTATTAAGTTAGCTGCTGATTTAATGACTGTTTCAGTTTTTTCTGGATAATGCCTATCACTAAGCTTTAATAATGAGCTAAAAATGGCAAGGAAAAATGAGGTGATTTTAAGATCGTAGTGCTTTGGGAAGGGACAGCTAGAGATAAACAAAATGTTCTATTGATGTTCTGCCCCGTATTTATGTTAACAATTATTTTGTTCTGTTATGGTATATATAGACTTTCAAGTAGTATAATTTTCAGGCAAGATTCAATTGGATTTTTAAAAACTTTAAATTTAATTAATGCTGTTGCTAGCATGCATTAGGCATTCAAGAAATACTTTAAGCCATTCAACATTGACTTAATTAATGTTTAGAAATAATCAGAAACATTAAAGGAAACTTGACTTTTATATTTTAAATTTCAGTTTGTGCCACCTTCTCCCATTCAGGCTTCCACCAGTCACCTTCATCAAATCAAACAGGTAAGAAGAAGTTTTGAGAAACTGACAGCTGTTCATTAAAAAAAGTAAATTTTATTTTTCTTTTAAACAATACCTGTGGTTCAGTAATTCTAAGTGAGGTCACATGTGATTAAGTTTTTAATTCCAGGAATGGTTTCTCTAAAAAAAAAAAAAAAAGAAAGAAAAAAGAATCCAAAACAACTAAGGAGCCCTCTATTTATTTGGGTTATTAACTGTCTTAATAAACTGATAGCTTCCCGAAATACTGCATACTCTTTTACCTTGAATCTAATTTCTTTCAGGGATCTCAAAGAAGATGATGAATGCTATATATGAAAATTAATTTTCAGGTTCATAACAGCCATAGTTATCATGGTTTTCTTAAATCCCCAGATGAAGAATTTTTTTGACACATAAAACCATCTTTATGCTATCATTTTGTGTTCACTTCTCAGTGATTTGAGTTCAGGAACACATTGTACCTCACTGTCTTATGTTTTGTGTGTGTGTGTGTGTGTGTGTGTGTGTGTGTGTGTGTGTGTGTGTGTTTAATAGCAAAAGCCTAATACAGAATTAAATCTTTGATTTATCCAAGGATTAGCCACAGAACTCAAAAGATCAAATCGCCATTTCACCACAGGTGGTGGGATTATTTTTTTCACCCAACTACAAGCAGACTTTTGTTCAAGGCGGGGCCGCTTAACTGTTATGAAGCACTTATTATTCACTTAGCACTATAATAGGTCTCATCTGTGGTCTCATTTCATCCCACAACAAACTTATAAGGTCAGAAACCAAAGATGGCAGAAAGTTAGTAATTTACCAAATGTCCAGAGTTAGCAAGTGTCAAGCCAAGACTTAGCCCCAAATTACTGGATTCTTTTACAGCTACCCTCACCATGTTTTCAGTGGCACAAAACCCAGAGTATCTCGTAACCTTAGTTTTTTGTGCTCCAGCTCCTGCTTCCTTTCCCTCTCTCCCTCTCTCCCTCACACCATGGCTTCCCTAACGCCCAGCTTATCATCCACTAGCAAGAAAGTATGGTTTAAAAGATCCTTTTACTTTTTAGTAAATAAGACATTCTTTTACTGTTTGTCTTTGTGAGTATGTAGCTATTTAAGAAATTCTTAATGAAAGAACCTAAAACTAGTAGTTAAAGGGACCTCTGGTTTACTTGTGCTTTTTTTTTGCTTCCCCTAAATTAGACCAAATATTTTTAAATTGATTACTACATGTTTCTATTTGATTATGAAGTTTGAAATCAGGACTAATTTAACTGGTTAGTAATATAAATTGTAAAGCAACTTACTTCCATAGTGACAGAATATATATTATAAACATTTAAAATGAAACACAAGTGGTGATCATTTTTTGTAATATATAGAAATAGTGAATCACTATGCTGTGCACCTGGAACTAACATAGTGTTGTAGGTGAATTATACTTCAGTAAAAAATAAATTAAAATTTAAAAAAATTAAAAAACAAAAATTAAAGCTAAAATAAAATAAAATGAAACACAAGTAGAAAATGAATGAAATGGGAAAATAGAAATAACATTAACTTTCAATCTGGGTGCTGATTGAATGGAAAATTAAGACTTATTTTCAGCAGTTTAATTGTCTGATAGATATCTTAAGTTGCATATTTCTTTACATGCATTCTTTAACCATGACTTCTTTTTAGCTGTTGAACTTAACCTTTTAAGTACAAAACAGAAATGTCTGTTTCTTGCCTCATTACATTCTGAACTTTCACTCTAATGACATTAACAAAGGCATTTATTTAATTTCATTTTGTAGCAAAACGGGGGAAATAATAGTAGCTACTTCATAGGATTTTTGTGAGGATGAAAGGATTTAATATATGTATGGTTCCTGGCACACTACATTAAAAATCGTTTAATGGAAATTTTAAAACATGCAAAAAAGAACCTCCATGTATTCAATATCTAGCTTCAACTATTGATTACATTTTGTACATCATTTTTCAACTATCCCCTTCTGTTCTGGGGGGAGGAGTGTGATTTAAAGTGAAACCCTAATATCTTTTTACCCTTAAATACTTAGTATGAATCTCTGAGGACTTTTTATTTTACATAATTGCAATACCATCATCACATCTAACAGAGTTATTCCTTAATTTTATCTAATAACCAGTCCAGGTTAAATTTTCCTGATTCTCAAAAAATGCCTTTTTCACTGATTCAAACATGTTCCAACCATGATCTTTTAGGTCTCTTATTTGAAACAGTCTTCCCCTCCTGTTTTTGTTCCATGCCACTTCCTTATTGAAGAAACCAGGCCATTTGTCTTGTGGAAAGCCCCACATTCTGATTTTGCTTCCATGTGGTGCTGTTTAATATGCTCTTTTATCCCCTGTATTTTCTACAAACTGATTTGATTATATTTGCTTTTATTCTAAAACAAGCACACAGCCCCAAGTCAATATTATGTTCTGGGTCAACTTTTAAGTAAGGGTATGGTTTAAGTTGCCCTTTTCCTATTAGGCAGTTAATGGACAATTTCTTCTTCTTCTTCTTCTTTTTTTAAATGAAGCCATTTATTTACTTATTTATTTTTAAATTTATTTATTTATTTTTGGCTGTGTTGAGTCTTCCTTGCTGCGCGCAGGTTTTTCTCTAGTTTTGCGGTGAGCGGGGGCTACTCTTCGTTGTGGTGCGCGGGCTTCTCATTGCGGTGGCTTCTCTTGTTGCAGAGCATGGACTCTAGGCACACGGGCTTCAGTAGTTGTGGCACGTGGGCTCAGTAGTTGTGGCTCGCATGCTCTAGAGCACAGGCTCAATAGTTGTGGTACACAGGCTTAGATGCTCCGCGGCATGTGGGATCTTCCCGGACCAGGGCTCGAACCTGTGTCCCCTGTATTGGCAGGCGGATTCTTAACCACTGCGCCACCAGGGAAGTCCCGGACAATTTCTTCTTGACTGTGGTTGTTAGTTGTTTTCTTGGTATTAGAGAGCTTGAGAACATCAAGCTAGAAGTTAATTTTCTTTTTTTTTTTCCAGCTTTGAGATATAATTGACATATAACATTGTCTAAGTGTAAGGTGTACAACGTAATAATTTGATATGTGTATATATTGCAAAATGATTACCATTGAAGTTGATTTTCTAAACATAGTAATTCTTCCTAAATATTCAGCAATTATTCTTTTTTATGTCATTTTCCTTTCCTAATAGCAATTGAGCTTATATTTCAAGAGGTTTGAAAGCACTCAGGCTTTATTTCCCTCTCTCCCAGTCCCCTAAACAAATAACATCCCTGCAGAAATAGCTTGTGTATTAGTTTGCAAGGATTACCCTAACAAAGTATCATAAATTGGGGGCTTAAACAGAAGTTCATTTTCTCACAGCTCTGGGGGCCAGAAATCTGAAATCAAGGTGTTGGCAGGGTTAATTTCTTTGGAGGGCTGTGAGAAAAGGATCTGTTCCAGGCCTCTCTCCTTGGCTTGTAGATGGCCATCTTCATGTTCACATGGTATTCTCCTTATACGAGTGTCTATCTCCAAATTTCTCCTTTTTATAAGGACATTAGTCGTATTGGATTAGGTCCCACAATAATGACCTTATCCTAACTTGATTACCTCTGCTAAGACCCTCTCTCCAAATAAAGTCATATTCTGAGGCACTGAGGGTTAGGACTTCAACATATGGATTTGAGGGGGAAACAATTGAACCCGTAACAGTTCGTTCACAACATATTATTCTATAACTTTACATTTATTTCCTGACTTGTTAAATAGAAAATAAAATCATTGGTACCCAATAAGAACTTGACTTTCTCTGTAGTGCCTTCAGTGAAATCAATTAAAAAATTATCTACTTACATACTACCTCTGCATTTCTAGCATCCCTTGTATTTATATCTTCACAAATATGAACTTTAGCCACACATTTTACAGTCTTCTTTTTATATTACCTAGTTTGGATAGATTAAACTGGGTTTAGACAAAAATGTAGGGGAGGTTTATGAGATGAGGCCATTTAAAACAGATTATACCAGCTGGAGTACAGGGCATGATTGTGATAGGGACAATTTAGATATTGTCTGTTACATAAGGTGTGCCTGTGAGCTTTTTCTTCTGCTGGCCAGGTTTCACAGTTAGTCTGTCTTGTGGACTTTGTTACCATTTTTTAGTCTAGTAAAGCAATGACATTAGATTTCTGTGATTTGTTTTTGAGTTTTCCTTGGAACCTACAAAGTACCTAGTCTCTCTTATGAAGAGACCTTCTCTAAGGGAATAGCCTAGCTTGTTTTAAAAGAAATTTAATTTGATCTTAGTTTACAAATTGTTTCATTCTTTCAGCAAGCATTTATTGAGCCAGGTACCACTGGGCAACTAAAATCTTTCAAGCATACTCTCCTTCAGAGAGCAAAAGTGGGTGACTTCCTATTTTCATTTTTACCTTAGATACTAAAAAGTTGAAAGCTAAGTTCAGTGCTCAAGTACAACAACTCTCCTTAACCTAGGTTTCTAGCATACTCTTTGCCCTTGACAGTTACATGGCTCTTGACTTTTAATCCTTAATTTAACAATCTTATTTTATCATAAGCCATCTCATATCCGTTTTGGAAATAGGCCAGATGTAAATAATAAAAGTGTCAACCCACTTTTACTAATGATACTAAAATAGCTGATGTTGGGGAATGCTCCAACTTTCAGTGGGAGAAACAATAAGCAAAATTCTGTCCTAGTTCTGGGAAAACTTGCTCTTTACTTGTGGATTGAGTGAATTACAAAATACTTTGAGCTTCTCCCTAGAGGAAAACATCTACATCTACGTCAATATTAAATGGAAGAACTATGCTAACAATTACGTTTTGCTGAAAAGATTTACTGTTATTCCATTGTTTTAAAAGACTGATTAACTTCTTAAACTTCCTTTCCCAATTTCTCTCATTTTCCATAATGGCATCAAAATAGTCAGTCTAACAGTTTTAAGACTCAAAGCTCTAGGTTCATCTTCAATTCTTCCTTATTTTTCTACTGTATCCAATTAGGCATCTAATCCTATTAATTCTTCCTTGACAATACCTTCTCTGTTCCCATTACTACTTCCTTCTGTCCCTTGGGTCCAGATTACTGTAATAATATTCTAATAGATTTCCTATCTCTGCTAATTTAATCTGACTTCCACAACCAACACCAAAATATCTTTTTTAAAACATTATTTTCATCTTTTTCTCTCCTGTGCAAAAAGTTACAATGGCTTCCCATTACCTTCTGAATAATAATAAGAAGAAGAATAGCTAGGCTGTATTGAGCACTTACTATGTGCCAGACCTTTTTTTGTTTTGTTTTGTTTTTTTGTGGTATGCAGGCCTCTCACTGTTGTGGCCTCTCCCACTGCGGAGCACAGGCTCCGGACGCGCAGGCTCAGTGGCCATGGCTCACGGGCCCAGCCGCTCCGCAGCATGTGGGATCCTCCCGGACCGGGGCACGAACCCGTGTCCCCTGCATCGGCAGGCGGACTCTCAACCACTGCGCCACCAGGACCGTGCCAGACCTTTTAATAGGAACTGTACAACCACGTCATTATCCTTATTATTATCATCATCTTTATAGGATGAAGAAACTGAGGCTCAGGTTAAGTTGCTTGCCTAAGGTCACACAGGTAGTAAGTTATAGAGCTGGGATTTGACTCAGTTCTGTTTGGCTCCAAAACCAGTGGTCCTAACAGCTATGCTATTCTGCCCAAACTCTTTAAATTCAATCTCTTCAATTATTTAAGATCCCATAAATCTGGTGCTCTTACCAGTTTTCTTTCTCATTGCTCTGTAGTGCAAATTCCCTTTCAACCAAACTAGCCTCGCTATCGTGTAACCTGCCATATACTTTCTCTCCTCTAAACTTCTGTTCATATGGTTCCTTCTGCTGTTACAGCCTCCCCTCCACCCTCTGCTTGTCCAGATTTTAAACATCTTTCAAGGCCGAGGTCAAATTTTAAGTCACACAACTCACACCACTCTTTATTACAGACTATTTATGACATTTATTGTTTATACTGTAGACAGTAATATTTAAACTCTTTTAATCACGCACTGCATCAATAAAAACTGAGCACATGCTTCCAATTTATGTCTATTGTATTTACATTATCGCCATATACTGTGAATATAGTGTATATTGAGTGCCAGCATATAGTGTGACTCATAGAATATATGCAAGATTAGAGATATAACAAGGATGAGATGAAGATGAAATGATGTTTCTAGAAATTTTAAAATTTTATTTTATTAATTATAGATGATTATTGAGAGTCAGTATGAATTCGTATTTCCAATGGTCTTGAGGATTAGAATTACTTTAGCCAGCTCCTTGACAAAGCAGATTAGCTCAGCATTGTGTTTTCAGTCAGGTGGCTGATGAGAAGCTGTGCCAGGAGAGGCTGTTGTCTGCACAGACTTGCATTACTAATCTCTGTCCAAGGCTTCTCGTGGGAATCTTGTTAAGGCACTTGTCCATTTTGCGGTGCTTGGTTTAGTTAAAACTAGATAAAACTGCAATTAGTTGTACTTAGCTAAAGGCCAAAAAAAGGCTCTCCTCTCACAAGATCTTTGGACCCTATGGGCTGAGTGAGGGCACCAGTGTCAATCTGTATGTCTAATATCGGCAAGCTTTCATTTCTTACTGTCTTGGATTTTAAAGTATATAAATTAAATTTCTATTTTGTTTTCTTTTTTCTTCTCAGTGGATCATCTTGTATACCCCCTGGGCTATGACTATGCTTACTTTGGAGATTGACTAAATGTATATAATAAAGCTTGCCTTTCCAATGTGATTCTAGGCCTCTTTAAGGGAAGGCTCATCTGCTTATTTCATGTTCCGCATAATATTTAGCACCAATGTTGGGCAGCCATCACTACTCTACACTTCCAGGACTTTTTCATCATCCCAAACAGAAACTCCGTACCCATTCAGCAATAACTCCCCATTCTACCCTCCCACTCCTGTAACCTCTGTTCTACTTTCTGTCTCTATGCATTTGACTATTCTAGGTAGCTCATATAAGTGGAAGCATACAATATTTGTTCTTTTGTGTTTGGTTTATTTCACTTAGCATAATCTTTTCAAGATTCATTCATATTGTAGCATGTGTCAGAACTTCATTCTTTTTGTGGCTGAATAATATTCCATTGTATGTATATACCATGTAAAAAAACTATTCATCTGGTAAAGGATACCTTTTGGCTCTTGTGAATACTGCTGCTATGAACACTGGTATACAAGTATCTGTTTGAGTCCCTGCTTTCAATTCTTTTGGGTATATACCTAGGAATGGGATTGCTGGATCATATGATAATTTAATCTTTAACTTTTTGAGAAACCAATTTTTTCCCAGAGTTTGCACCATTTTACATTCCCACTAGCAATTCATGTTCCAGTTTCTCTGCATTCTCAACAACACTTGGTTTTTTTTCCCCCATATTTTAAAATAATGCCTATCCTAATGCATGTAAAGCAGTATCTTATTATGGGTTTGATTTGCATTTCCCTAATAAAAAATGATGTTGAGCATCTTTTCATATGCTTATTGGCCATTTCTATATCTTTTTTGGAGGAACATCTATTTAAGTCCTTTGCCCATACAGATTTTCCTCAACTTGTGATGGGCATATGTCCCAATAAACCTATCATAAGTTAAAAATATCCTAAGACGAAAATGCATTTAATGCAGCGAAATTCTGAACATCATAGCTTAGCCTAGCCTATCTTAAACGTGCTCAGAACACTTACATTAGCCTACAGCTGGGCAAAGTCATCTAACACAAAGCCTATTTTATAATAAAGTGAGGAATATCTTATGTCATTTATTGAATACTGCCCTGAAAGTGAAAACTGAATGGTTGTCTGGGTACAGAATGGTTGTAAGGGTATCGGATGTTTACCCTCGTGATTGCATGGCTGACAGGGAGCTGCCATAGCTGCCGCTGCGCAGCATCACGAGAGAGTATCTGACTGCATATCACTAGCCCTGGAAAAGGTCAAATTCAAAATCGAAGTAGGGTTTCTACTGAATGCACATTGCTTTTGCACCATCGTAAAGTTGAAAAATTATAAGCAGAACCATTGTAAATTGGGGACCGTCTGTATTTCAAGTGAGTTGTTTTGTTGTTGTCACTGAGTTGTAGGAATATTTTATAAATTCTGGATATTAATCCTTTATCAGATATATGATTTGCAAACATCTCCAATTCTGTGATTGTCTTTTCACTCTCTTTTGATGCAGAAAATTTTTAATTTTTATGAAGTTCAATTTATTTTTTCTTTTGTTACCTGTGTATCATATCCAAAAAATCATTGCCAAATCCAATGACATGAAGCTTTTGCCCTATGTTTTCTTCTAAGCGTTTTATAGTTTTAAGTTTTAAGTTTAGGTCTTTGATCCATTTTGAGTTAACTTTTGTATATGGTGTAAGGAAAGTGTTCATTCTTTCACGTGTGGATGTTCAGTTTTCCAGCACCATTTGTTGAAAAGACCGTCCTTTCCCCACTGAATGGTCTTGGCATCCTTATTGAAAATCAATTGACTATATACGCAAGGGATTATTCTAGGCTCTCTCTATTCTATTCCATTGGTCTATACGTCTGTCCTTATGCCAGAACCACACTGTTTTGATTACTGTAGCTTTGTGTAGTGAGCTTTAAAACCAGGTAGTGTAGTCCTCCCAAGTTTATTCTTTCTCAAGGTCATTTTTCTATTTTGACAGAAAATGCCATTGAGATTTTGATAGGGGTTGCCTTGCATCTGTAAATCACTTTGGGTAGTATTGCCTTTTTAACAATATTAAGTCTTCCAATTCACAAACACAGGATGTCTTTCCATATGTGGGTTATTTTTTTAAGTAACTATTTATGTGAAAAATACTTGCATACTTATAAAAAGGTCAAACAATATGGTAAAGTACAGAGAAAGAAAGAACAAACTGTCACAGATCTCACTACTCATTGATAAGTACTGTTAACCTTTTGGGGAACATCCTTCTGAGCACCTCTCATTTACAGTTTTACGTAAGAAGCATTTGTGGTTTTTTCCTACTTAATATGTAATACATGTTTTTCAATGTCAATGACTAGATTTAAATCATGCTTGTACCATCATTTGCTTAAGCAAACCCATGCTGAAAGACATTTAGTTTGTTGGACTGTGAGTACTATTTGTTAATATAGTATTAATGGTTGGAAAAATAGTTTAATGTTTAATGTTTGATGTTTTCTCTTTTGAATGAAGAAAGGTACAAAGTTTTTCATCTAATCAATTCCTGCATATCCAATGTACTATAATGCATAAGTAATAGATCTCTGTGTGGTAGGTGCAACAATGAAAAGTAGAGAACCGGACACTTGTTTAGAGATTTGTTTATACTCTAGCTCTACTATAGCCCAGTGAATAATAATAAATGTACAGCCAAATGAAGTAAAACTTTGTAAAATCATAGGAACAGGGCATTCAGTTTATCCTCACGTTCTCACCTTTCAGGAAGAAGCCATGAATTTAATGAATAGGGAAACAATGCATGAATGGTGAGTAGTGTGCATTGAATTACTATTCTGATCATATTCAGTTATATCTTTTTTTTTAGGTAGGTAAACTTCAGTACTGATATCTTTTCTTTTGTAAGGAGGTACAAACTGCAATACAGACGGGTCAACCTTGGAAAGAAACTTTGAAGTATGGTATGGTATGGTATTAGCACTTCAATTTTGTAGAAAATTTGAAATTTTTACTGATTTTTCATGTTGGCACTACCTAGTTTTGCTGTAATTTCTAGACATTTAAACTCTCATTTGAAACTAAAATTATATATGCTCCATAATTTTTTTTTTTTTTTTTTTTGCGGTACGCGGGCCTCTCACTGCTGTGGCCTCGCCCGTTGTGGAGCACAGGCTCCGGACGCATAGGCTCAGCGGCCATGGCTCACAGGCCCAGCTGCTCCACGGCATGTGGGATCCTTCCGGAACGGAGCACGAACCCGTGTCCCCTGAATCGGCAGGTGGATTCTCAACCACTGTGCCACCAGGGAAGCCCTGCATAATTTTTTATTGCTCTTAAGAAACAGTTTATGATTTACTCATAAAAATAACTAATTGTTTGAGAGTGGGGTTCAAAGTAAATAGTTGTCTGATACAAAACCACTGTTCCTGTGGATCAACTTCCTCTCTGTCCTAGTGAGTCTAAAAAAAGTTCAGTTGTGCTGGTTGAATTGCTTAGATGATGAAATGATAAATGATTTCACTCCCTTCTATGTAATTTATTAACTATATATTAGAATTTTAAACCACAGGCCATGGATTTACTGGGAAAATACTGCATTTTTATGCCTGTAATACATATACTCCTACTAGCATTTTAACGTACAGCCTTTCATTTAAACATGTTTGGAATGTAGTTACATTCCTTGCTAACATTTTTTTATGTCCCTGTACATATTATAATTACTAAGTTGTAGTAGTTGAATGATGTTTAGGGTTCTTTTCCATGGACATCTCAGATAATGACAAAATAAGAACTGAGCTGAAATTTGAGTAGAAGAGGTTCTGGTTAGATGTCAGTTTCTAGATTTGGGGATTATTAGGTAGGGAAATGGGTCATCAGCAGAAGCAGTGACATCTTATTTTCTTTTGAGCCCTGAGCGCCTTAGATTGCCATCTATTCCTGATTTATGAATAAGTCCTGAAGAATGAGTAGATAACCTCTGGAGCCTGTCACTTTTCATGTTTTGGTGCTAATACAATTTATAGAGGCTCTTGGATTCCCTTAACTGACCTAATTCTAATTAATTTAAGTGTTAGTGTGAGTGAGTAAATCTGCAAGTGTGTTAGAAAGAGGAAGGAAACATGTAATATAACTTTACTTGTGTCTTGGAGAAGAAAAGAACATGTTTTAAAATCCTGAATTGTGTGGTCCTGATTTTGTCCACGTAAAATCTATAAACATTTTTATAGCTGTTTATTTTTGTTGTCCCATTTGCATCTTCGTTCTAACCAAAGCTTTTTTGATCCTTTCCTGGACACAGCATTGTAGTTTTCAATAACAAATCACAGGTCAAACCCAAAGAGAAAGACTGAAATTTAGGATTTGTGTATCTGTTAGGTATTGCTCAATATTGAGTAGTCACATTCTAGGTCTTTTTTGGGTGCTAGGGAAGCCCCTTATCCGGCATGTAGCTCTCTTTCCCAAAAGGCAAAAGGTGCCTTTGCTTATTGAAGTGAATCTTGGGTTCCCTGCTTGCTTTAGGATGGTGAGAGCTCCATGGTACAACCACTGACGCAGTAAGGATTCCCTTCCCCGTGCCATAGCTATCACCCTCAGCACCTGATAAGTAAGCAATAGGTGCTACAATTGGACACTGCTTATAAAGAGTAACAACGATTTAGAGAAACCACCTTCTCCAAAGTCCACTGATTTAATTCTAGCACCCCCAACAGCTTCTCTCACCAGGGCGACTGAGAAGGTAAGAAAGGAGTGTCTAAAAGTCTGTGTCCCTTGAAATACTTATAAAACATCAATGTTTCACCACCCAAATCTTTTGGGGGATACATTTTGCTATAGTTATAGCTGATTCAAAATGGCAGTTTTCCCTTTCATTTCTTAAACTATTATTTACATATTACAAAAGTCACCAATCTTTAAGTATACGATTTGATTAATTTTGGTAAATGTGTACAATCCTGTAACCGTAACCATAATCAAGATATAGAACAGTTCCGACACTCTGAACAGTTTCCTCGTGATCTTTCGCACTTGATCTCCTCCCCCCACCCCTGCCCACCCTAGGAAACCACTAATCTGCTTTCTGAGAAAAGTTATACCGGGTTCAATCCCTGGTTGGGGAACTAAGATCCGCAAGCTGCACGGTGCAGCCAAAAAAAAAAAAAAAATTGTAGCTCCAGGTTCTGTGACAACCAAACAAATAATGTCTTTTTAGCTAAATTAAAATTTCATCGTTTTGGTTTATCTTTTTTTTTTTTTTTTTTTGCGGTACGCGGGCCTCTCCCGTTGCGGAGCGCAGGCTCAGCGGCCATGGCTCACGGGCCCAGCCGCTCCACGGGATGTGGGATGTGGGATCCTCCCGGACCGGGGCACGAACCCGCGTCCCCTGTATCGGCAGGCGGACTCTCAACCACTGCGCCACCAGGCAAGCCGTTTTTGTATTTTTGAAAAGAATCAACTAAGAATGTGTGAGAACATGTGACCATATGAAGAATCAGTAATTCATTAACCCTGTCTGAACATAGCCATCCTCTGACCCAGCTTGTTCATAAGGATCAGAGCTAACTCTCGAATGAACAAATGAACGTTTAACAACCATATCCCCTTATTCACTCATGATTTTCACCTTGTCTTAAGGCAGGTCACAGCCAGGACTACAGGTCCTTCTAGCTTTTTTTCCCCACAACTTGGGAAAATCCTGAATCCTTATAAGTTACAAGACAGTTTTCTGTCCTGAGGCTTTCCTGTTTTTACCTAGATTTAGAGAAAAGCAGTGAAATCATGTGATGTGGGATACTACATACAGTCCTCTTTTAGTGTATATCCTTAGATCTGTTATAACGAAATAGTCACAGCTGATCTTTTTCAAATGTTTTCTTGTAACGATTATAATTTTATTTTAGAAGAAGTCAAAGTCCCAACCAACACTATTAGACCAAGTATCCTTGGACCATTAAAAAGAAAAGGTACTTTTATCTACCAACAGAAATAAATATAACTTTATTTTCATAAGATATCACATAAAATCAAGTATTATACAAAAATTCATTTTAAAGGATTTATTTATTTAAAACATATTTGATAAATTACTAGAGGCCTTTTGTTTCACTGAAATGAAACTATGTGTAAAGACATTTTGAAAGCTATAAAGGGCCATGTGAATTGAAAATTTTAATTCCAGTTTAGTCAACTATTATGATTTTCATTATATAATTCACCAAGCTAGCTGCCTTAAATACTTTCTGAAACAAGGTGGGGAATGAATGAATAAATAGAGTGATTCAGCCATCAAGTATTCTCCTGAATCTCAACCCCTGACCTGCCCCACCACTACACGTCCACGTTGATATCATATGAATAAGTTGACACAAATTAGATCCACTTACAGCACTAAAAATATATGCTAAAGTGTATGTTGATGTTTCAGTTGTTTATGGGGGTTCTGTTTGGTTAAATATATGGAAAATGATCCACCTATTCAGTAATAAAAGGGCAGGGAAAGAACAGAAGTGGTTTTTTTTTAAACTGCCACAGTTCTGGATCCCCTTTCTCACCCCTGCCTCACTAAGCTATGTACTTCTTCCTTTTTTTGGATATGACTACTGAATTATGGGCTTAATACAAAGTTAAACTATAATAAGGAGGGGAAATGGGAAAGGAGATTAAACTTAAAAATGTGTATTTGTGAAAAATCCATTAAGATGGGAAAGAAGAAGGAGAAAGAAGAAGAAATGGAAGTGGGGGGGCAGAGGTAGGGGAAGAGCAAAACTAGAGGGAAGGAAACTGAAATGCACTGCAATGTTCCCTGCATTTGGCATGAATTAATGGCAGTCTCCCTAACAACATACCTAACTCAGCGTGTACTCGTTATATTCTAAGACTAAGAGGAGATCAGTTCTGGAAAATGCTCTTTTACAAACTAAGCACATTGTTTTATGACAATGGATCAATGACCTAGCTTAAGTGTCTTTTACCTGTGCTGTGAAGTTTGGGCTAATGTTGAAAAAACATTCAAATGTATTAGCAGTTGAAGAGCTGTTAGGAAGTTGGGGGGGGGCATCATTTGAGTATTTAAAATCAAATACGCTTAAATTAAAGACAGTGTTTTACTAAATTAAAATAATTCTTCTTTTAACATAACACATAAAATGTTTCATGATGTTGAAAATGCCTGGAATTTTCTTAGAATTTATGATTTTAAAAATTGTTTTTATATTTCAATTTTGACATAATAGACTTGGTTTCCATCCAGTGTTTTGGTGGATGTGGCATGTTCCACATGAGCTTCTTGTACCTGGTTTTCAGCTGCTCTGGAAGTTAACTGCCTCATTTCTTTGAGGTGTCCCTAAGAACTCCAAAGCAAATTCTATAAGTACCACACGGTCTATATGTTTTAAGTCAGACCCTCCCAAATATAGTCTATACAGATCTGGTCAAAGTTTATCTGACTTTCCAGATGTAATAACAGATTAAACAGAAATTTAATTTTAATTATATATTTTGGAATATGAATATTTATTTGGGAAACAACAAAGTATGTCCGATTATCACATTAATACAAGTGAAGTGTGGGGAAAGATGGTATAAAAAATCAAAAAGAGGTCCTGGGGGGGAAAAACAAAAAAAGAATGAGGACTCTCTGTAAAGTGGAGGAGAAATAAGGGTTAGAGTCTCCAAGCATATGAAGGCATATTTTATGGTGATTAGCAGCAATTACTTCCGTTGGGAACAAGCAAGAAAAAATAAGGCTTCAAGTGGGAATTCTGAGAAATCTACAGAGATTGGGCAGCTATAAATATTGTTTTACGAGTAATAATGATTTTAGCAAAGAAAATTTTAATTTTCTTCTATGATGAATTTGTTTTGATTTGCCTTGTTTTTAATTTAAACCAAAAAGGAGAGATGAGTAGTTTTTCCATAATGGTGTAAGTGTATCTGGCATGAGATATGATAATACCTAGACCTCTTTCGAGCTTTATGAGCCATGATTATACTCCTAAGGAAGGTCTGGAAATCTCTATTCCTAGGGATATTTTTTAATGAGTAGGTGGCCGTAGTGTTTTATCATTCAAATATATTCCACCATAGAAGTTATGGACTTGATCATCAGTTTTACTCACATCCAGACATGGTTATCACATGAATGTGTAACATTTACTTCAAAGTGAAGATTATAGCAATGTGGTTTTTTGAGATTAAGTTTTTCTCCCTAATCTTTGAAAATGTATTTATTTTGTTCATTGTATGCTGTAAAAAAAAATTGATCTATTTAGTTCATTGTGTATGTTTAGCAAAATAAGGAGAGCAGTAACTTAAAAGTTTTAAAATAAGGAATGAGATTAAATTATGGTACATCCTTACTACATAGCTATATAAATTTATGTTGTAGAATTTAGTTACTAATATGAGAAAAATTATAATCATTAAAAACAAAAAGTAGATTACGTATCAGTATTATATACAGTGCAAATCCAATTTTGTTTAAAAAAATCATGTATACACACATTCAGGAATTACTGAAAAATGGTTATCTCTGGATAATGGTGATGTAAAATTTTCTTCCTTTTGTTTTTCTGTATTTTATAAATTAATTGCAATGAACAAGTTTTACTTTTGCAATTAAAAGCATAATAAACACATTAGACAAAATATATCTACCTTGATCTGCATTTTCGTCATAGGTGAAATGACATTTGAACATCAGCCAAAGAGATTTTTCCAAGACACAACCAACGTGCTTTCTTCTGATACTACCCAGCTATCTGATAGGAATGTATTGTGAGTATTAACATGAGATTTTAAGCATTCATTGGCCACTTTTAACTTGGTTTTTAAGTCTACTTTGGTTATTGTATATACTCAGAAGTATGGTATATTATGAAATACTTTTAGAAGTTTTAAAAAATGAATATCCCAAATGGATACTATAATATTAACTTTAGTTCTTCTCCCCAACACTTACGTGTGACATTAATATATGGTAGACACATTTTTATTTTATATCTTTATTGGATTATAATTGCTTTACAATGTTGTGTTAGTTTCTGCTGTACAACAGAGTGAATCAGCTATACGTATACATATATCCTCATATCCCTTCCCTCTTGAGACTCCCTCCCACCCTCCCTATTCCACCCCTCTAGGTGGTCAAAAAACACGGAGCTGATCTCCCTGTGCTCTGTGGCTGCTTTCCACTAGCTATCTATTTTACATTTGGTAGCGTATATATGTCAATGCTGCTCTCTTACTTCATCCCAGCTTCCCCTCCCTCCCCACGTCCTCAAATCCATTCTCTAACGTCTGCGTCTTTATTCCTGCCCTGCCACTAGGTTCATTGGTACTGTTTTTTTAGATTCCACGTATGTGCGTTAGCATACGGTATTTGTTTTTCTCTTTCTGACTTACTTCACTCTGTATGACAGCCTCTAGGTCCATCCACCTCACTACAAATAACTCAGTTTAGTTCCTTTTTATGGCTGAGTAATATTCCATTGTATATATGTGCCACATCTTCTTTAGCCATTCATCTGTCGATGGACATTTAGGTTGCTTCCATGTCCTGGCTATTGTAAGTAGTGCTGCAATGAACATTGTGGTACATGACTCTTTTTGAATTATGGTTTTCTCAGGGTATATGCCCAGTAGTGGGATTGCTGGGGCATATGGTAGTTCTATTTGTAGTTTTTTAAGGAACCTCCATACTGTTCTCCATAGTGGCTGTATCAATTTACATCCCCACCAACAGTGCAAGAGGGTTCCCTTTTCTCCACACCCTCTTCAGCATTTATTGTTTGTAGATTTTTTGATGATGGCCATTCTGACCAGTGTGAGGTGATACCTCATTGTGGTTTTGATTTGCATTTCTCTAATGATTTGTGACGTTGAGCATCTTTTCATGTGTTTGTTGGCAATCTGTATGTCTACTTTGGAGAAATGTCTATTTAGGTCTTCTGCCCATTTTTAGATTGGGTTGTTTGTTTTTTGATATTGATCTACATGAGCTGCTTGTATATTTTGGAGATTAATCCTTTGTCAGTTGCTTTGTTTGCAAATATTTTCTCCCATTCTGAGGGTTGTCTTTTCGTCTTTTTTATGGTTTCCTTTGCTGTGCAAAAGCTTTTAAGTTTCATTAGGTCCCAGTTGTTTATTTTTAATTTTATTTCCATTACTCTAGGATGTGGGTCAAAAAAGATCTTGCTGTGATTTATTAGACACATTTTTAGAAGTGGGGTTTTGGCATTAGATTAAGAGGTATTAGAGATATACATAAAAATGCAATCTTGGAAAAGAGTCATCGTCTGCCCCATTTTTTCTGTCTTGGATTTTTGAGTGCTTTGTTAGGCTGAGCATATTATTTAAAAGTGTGCCAGTAAAGCAAGTTTTAATGATCAAAATGGGAAATACAGTGAATGGATTTTTATTACCGTTACTATTGGTTTTGTTTTACTGCTCTTATGAAACTGCTCTTGTAACTAATGCCAATTCTTTGCTTCACATATTTTGCATTCATTTGTAGACGAAGCACAGAGATCTCTTGAATTCTGTTATCAATGAGTGGTATTTTCTTTTTCCTAGTCTATCTTCAGATGCTCTTGATAGAAACAGCAGCAGTGCAGGGTCTTCTCATAATTCACCAGCTAAAATCAGCACTGTCACAAACTCTCCTGTGTTGCCTTCTGATTTTAGTTCTCTATTTATTCTAGCAGATGAGCTTTTAACTAAGTGGTTTACCTATCCCAAGACTCTCCCCAATAGAGCAATGGAGAAACAAACGTGCACTCGCTTGATGTCTCTCTCTCTCTCTCTCTCTCTCTCTCTCTCACACACACACACACACACACACACACACACACATTAGAGTAATAACAGGATTGTATGTGGTATAATTTAGACTATTTCCTATTTATCTTTTCTTCTTAATTTCCTAGAATTCTGTTTCTCTATAGAACTTGCATGTCTAATTCCTGGGTATGCCCTTAAAAGCAATGTAGTAATACTTTCAAAGATGTTTTCTAAATAAGAAGTATGTTGACAATACAATCATACATCTTCAAGTTGCTAATGTATAGAAATATGCTGTACCTTGATTTTTTTTAAAATAATTGAGAGCTCTATTTATGTGAATAAATAAATAAATAAAATTATACATTCTAATGAAATATTATTGTTCCATTAATCAACAGGTAAAATGGTTTTTCAAGTTATGTACTGAATATTTATGCTAGTTTTTAATATTTTCAGTAATTGCTAGTTTCCATTTGGTAAGGAAAAATCATCTATCAAAAGCAGTTTTAAAATTAAGCTAGTTATACTGTATTGATCCAAGGATTGCCAATTTTTGACATGAATCCTTGGATGTGTAATTTGTTGGGGAGGAATAGGTAGGGGAAGCAAGATGAATGGAAGCTAATTGAATAGCAAGAAAATAATATGTAATTGGGGCTTCACTCAATTTGTACTTAACCTGGTTATCCCTGATCAATTTTGTACTCTAATTAAGTGTGGAAAAAAGACAATGTGGATAAATTGTGGTGTTTTACATTTCTATGAATTACCTTTTATTCATCATCATGACTACTGATTTGATTAAATATAGACTTAATATGTTAGGGCTTTTCTGCAAGAACCATGCACTTCCACTTGTTCCCAAAGGGCTATAAAGGTTTGTTTAAAACCCAATTTTCTATTCAAAAGTCTTAAGGATTTTTTAAATAAGAAAAATCATGTATTAAAAATTTTAAATATAAAGTAAGTGCTTTAGGTAATTGGGGGTAGTATTAGCATTTTGAAAAATAGAAATGTATCTTCATGAAATGAAGTTGAAAATTGGTTTAAATTTCCTCAGCTAATGAAGGTAGGAGTGGCTATCTAAAATATTTATTAAACGTTTTTCCTTGTCATTAGAAATAATCAGAATGATGGAAATCTGATGTAGGTATATTCCACATGGGAAAAAGATTGACATCAAGAATTTTTTGACAATAGCCCTGATGGAATTGATTAGAATGTATATATACGGCAGGGGGAGATTCTATTCACCTGTGAATAAATGAAACTGAATATTTCTGAGATGACTGGAATCATATGGTCTCCTGAAACTGGGATAGGATTCTACAAATTGGCTAAGGACAAGTGAACTATCAATATTGCCTTTGTTACTTAGCTTCTTGCCAGACTTCAGTGGACGAGTTGTGAACATATAAGGGGGCCCTCATGGAATGAGGTGTGATTGCAGTGGTGTTCCTTGATGAAATTATAGATCAATGACAGAAAAAAAGGTCCCCATGTGCTATCGACACTTCAGCAAAAAAAGTTTTTCAGAATGATCAAGTACAAAGACTAAGGATGGAGAAAGTGAACAATGGGGGTGAGACTACTACTCATTTGTGTGAGGAACTTTCATCAATAAATCTTGGTAATCTTGGCTATCTCATCTCAATATACTTTTTTTTTTCAACTTAGACAATTTCTTTCACTCTATTTCGTTAGTTTTTATTGTTTTAGCTGAATCCTAGGATGCCACAATCACTATAATATGCTCAGAATTGAGGACTTTGTAGTTGGTTTTCCATTCTGTTACCTTTCGAGCTTGTGTATTGGGGGGCTCCATATCTTAAATGATTTTCTATTTATTAATTTTCAGACCAAAGCAATTCTAACTTTTACATGAGGTATTTTGTGGTTGATTTTTTTTTTTTTTTTTTTTTTTTTTTTTTTCTGGGGGTTGTTTTTTTTTCTCCTTCTCCCGTTGGGGCGCCCGCCTCCCGGCGCCGAGGCCGACGATCCTCTCGGCCCCGGCTGCGCCTCC